CGCGAAAACCGCTAGCTCAGGAACCAAGAAAGCTGCAAGGCTGAAATTTTCTGGAAAAGTTCCCAACTCATCTGCAACTTCAATTTATCAAAATCAGCCCCCCCTCCGCCGTGCGTGGTTGCCACGTACGGCCCCGTGAAAATTTTTGGCGGGAAAATAAATAACTCCAGAACCAGGGAAGCTGGGAGGCTGAAATTTCCAGGAAATGTTCCCAACTCATCTGCAACTTCAATTTATCAAATTCAGCCCCTCGCCATGCGTGGTTGCCACGTACGGCCCCGTGAAAATTTTTGCGGCAAAATGAATTACTCCAAAACCAGGGAAGCTGGGAGGTTGAAACTTTCAGGAAATGTTCTCAACTTATCTACAACTTGAATTTATCAAATTCAGCCTCCATTGTACGTGGTGGCTTCGCACGGCCCGTGAAATTTTTTAGCTGCAATTTTGGTAACTCGGGAACTGAGAAAGCTGGGAACATGGGATTTCAAGGAAATGTTTCCTGTCTTACTATAGCTTGGATAATTAAGTTCCCGAAATTCGAGGACCGATATGTACAAGAGATTTCCAGCTAGCGGAATTTCGAGTAATCTTATTACAGCACGTAATACTGCAAAAACGCATGATCGCACGGGTCCCCCCCCCCGTGCGCGTCGCCAGTGATTTTAGGATTATTCTCCGGATATTGTAGTTGCTTGTAAAGCTGCTAATTGCGAGCACCATCACATTTGCAATGTTTCCGACAGGATTTCCCAGCATTCTTCTTGAGGAATGGGTCCGAAGTTACAGAAACATCAAATTCTGGCCTGTTTTGTCTTTTTCTAGTTCCGTGTATAGATGGCCAGTTTTTGCCTAGATTAAAGGCGGCAGTTCACTCTAAATTTATACGTATGGCAAAAGCGTTTGTTGCAGTTGTTGAACTTTTGCATGTAGGTCCTACCCAATGAGCAAAGCCACTGTCTGCCGAACATTCCCACATCGGAGAGAAAGATCGTTGTAGGCGCATTTCCGGGGTTCTCATCAGCCCTGTCGAGTTCCAACTCCATTGAGCTGGCAGCAGAGGCGTTAAAGTTGTTTCAGGTTATAGTAGTTTGAATAGCAGCTGGAACGCATGAGCAGTTTCGCCTGCACTCTGCGAGCGCATTTACTAACCCCCCGTAGTGACAATCACCGTCGTTTCCCAATCCATCTCCCACCTTCGTTTCCTTTTTGCTGCTGTTCATGGCAATGTCCCCCTGCCGTATGTGTTTCTCATCTCGCCGTTGCCGTGTCGCATCTTAGCACTTTGGTGTGTCTTCATGCAAATTCGGTGACGTGTTTGCGCAGTTCCCCATGAGCTGCATTGAATGCTAGTAGGTTAGAGCGAGGTATTCAGTGAAGCGTGAGGTACGGCACAGAGGCGCCCAGCGCACACGTTTTCTTTATTTCCGTTGCAGTAGGTGTGAAGTTGGTGAGGCTAGGCCTAGCTTCATTTGCTAATGGCAAGAGCAGAAATGAATGCATTTGGTAAGCGCTGAATGAGTACTCAGCTTTTAGCAGTAGCTTGTATTGTCCCGATCTGCACTTGTTCCAAACAAGTGATGTGATCCTTGTCCTCCGTTGATCAAGCGATAACCCTCGTTCTATTTTCTCCAGTTGTCTCAGTGTTCATTTCGCCATAGTGGAGTCAAATTATCTTTGTTTTATACTGATTACCTCATTCTGCACTGCACGGTTTCATTCCACACTGACTGGCTTTTTTGTCACTCGTCTCACACTGATTTGGTTGGTTGCAGCCGTGTTACTAAAGAAAATGGTAATGAATAACAGCAGTAGTGCTGCGTGTACGGATTTTTTGTGTTCGTTAACGCTATGAAAAGAGTGGAACCCAGGCTGGAACGCACCGGGCGGACCCGTGCGATCATGCATTTTTGCACCGGACTTTAGTTACTCAAGTCATTAACTGTATGAATGGCTGTTGCTTTACATCTACCTTTTGCAGTCACTAGCATAAATCACCATAAATTTTACAAAGTAATGTTTAATTTCCATTTAATCTTTAAAAGTAACCTAGTTGTTCAGTGAGGAATTTTTTCGTCAAGACTTTTAAGTGCCCGTACGTAA